ACTTCTCCCCTAAGTTAAATATTCAAGCTACCTACGGTGACAGACCTTAATAGTAACTCAGCAAGTATATCCATGTATACCTGTGTGTGAGATACATGCGTGATACATGTTTGATACATGTGTCGCAGAGGACTTTTTTGAACTCGATTTAATTACGAATTTTGATACAAAACCAGTCCAAATCACCTCCAATCTTCCTCAAATTTTGTATATTGACTTATCTATATATTTTCAATGAATTTCAACTATACCCATTGAAAATTTTCCTTTTTTGTTTAGATTTTTGGAATATTGAATATATTTTTTGTAGTTCATCACCTTATTTGCTACCTCATCCATAAAATTTCCTTTCCGTCTATCTAGTGTTGCTGATCACGCTTAAAAATATGGAAGGTGATTTTTGCATGTGATTCTTTGAGAGAAAGAACCCTATTATTTGGTTTTTCAATTTTTATTGGCTAGTTTTGGTAAGTCTATGATTAATGGCTAGAGGTTGGTAAGTTGAGATTTATTTTGGACATTTGTGTAAGTTTCCCTTATGAAAATTTCCCTTGCATATGGCCCACTAAGAATAAGTGTTCCAAAAGTCATGCCGAGATTTGTCTTACCTAGTTGCCATTGGAACGGAACTAGATTTCAAAGTCTAGTGAAGAAATATGGGCTTGGTCTAATCTCGTTTCGAAGGCCCATTTCTATTGCCCAAGAAACTCAATATGGGCCATGAGTAGTGAGATTAAATTTTATTGATTTTTTTTCCAAGTAAGCCCTACCAAAAACCCTAGGTCATGTTGTGTAGTGAGTGAATATAAAAGCCTTATCAAGAACGTCTTCCTTTTCTTCTCTGTTTCGCAAAAGAGAGTGTGTGAGGGAGAGAGAAAGATGGTGTCACTGAAATTACAGAAGCGGCTGGCCGCCAGCGTCCTCAAGTGTGGGAGGGGAAAAGTCTGGCTTGACCCTAATGAAGGCAACGAAATCTCCATGGCCAACTCCAGTATGTTTCTTCTTCTTCTTCTGTTTATTTAAGATCTGCTTCCGATTTTGATTGTTTTAGTTTATTTTCACTTAACCCTTTTAAGTTTTCTGGGATTTTTGTCACTTAACTTTTTGTTGAATGAACGTTCTTCGTGCTGTAGCGAATAGGGTACTTGATGTCTTATCATTCTTTCATACTTTGTTTTATTACAACTTGGGTTTTTGTCGTGAACTGTTTGTTTAAAATCAGAAGGCGATGTAGAAAATGATATTTAAACTAGTATGGGACTAAATTAGTTATCCGACTATAGATAGATTTAGATAATTCCTAATAACCTTAATGTAGTATTGAATTGAGATGTACGTGAAACAGAGCGGTGTGGGTATACAGTATAGAGGATTTGATTAGCTGATCCCAATTGATTTGGGATTAAGTATAATACAAAGATTAATTGATAAATTAGAATTTTAGTCATATATGTGTGCTGCGTAGGGTAAAGTTGCAAACGCGAGCGAGATGATTTACATTTATTTGCTTCTTCTTCATGGTCTAGCAGACAAATGGTTTTAACACGAGAAGAAGCTTGGACATATAGCTTGACTTAGCTGGTGTTTGATCCCTTCTTGTTATTTCCTAGCTTTCCCATTGAAAGCCCTGATAAAGCTCTAGCAGTGAAAGCATGTTTACTAAATATATTGGTGTCTACACAAGTTGACTGCCTCTAAATCTCCTCATTTGCATTGAGTGCAGGGCAGAACATCAGAAAGTTGGTGAAAGATGGTTTCATCATCAGGAAACCAACTAAAATTCACTCAAGATCCCGTGCCCGCAGAATGAAGGAAGCCAAGAGGAAGGGTCGTCACTCTGGATATGGTACCTCTTAATCTTGACATTGGTTGCTAGTTTATGTAATACTCTAATAATTTATGTTTTCTGCTAGAAACGCTTCTTCGAATGTATCGTGAAGTGCTATTTGATACTTCAAACTGAAAATTTGACCAAATTAATTTGTTTTCTTGATACTTCAAACTGAAAATTTATAATATGAAATCAACCTATGGAATGTAGACTCAGTCAGAAAATGGCTGAAATTTGTTTTGGAGGAATTCATAAAACAAAACGAAATTATTTTGGAGGCAGTTGATACTCAATCTATATAGTCTTTTCTCAGGTAAGCGTAAGGGTACCAGAGAGGCTAGGTTGCCCACAAAGGTGCTGTGGATGAGGAGGATGAGAGTTCTCAGGCGTTTGCTTCGCAAGTACAGGGAGTCCAAGAAGATCGACAGGCACATGTATCATGACATGTACATGAAGGTGAAGGGTAATGTTTTCAAGAACAAGCGTGTGCTCATGGAAAACATTCACAAAACAAAGGCTGAAAAGGCTAGAGAGAAGACCTTGTCTGATCAATTTGAGGCTAGGAGAGCAAAGAACAAAGCAAGCAGGGAAAGAAAGTTTGCTAGGAGGGAGGAACGATTGGCTCAGGTAACTACTTTAGCTTTATGAAACTTTCCCTAAGCAATTCTGGTTCAACATCAGAGAGTGCTTCCTTCTCCCCCGCAATAGTAGCCAGCAAAATATGTCCATTTCTTGACCATAAATACCAAATGAAATTGAGCTTTTTTTCTTCTGATTCACAGGGACCAGGAGAAAGGCCAGTGCAACTTGCAGCACCAGCAGCTTCAGCAACCCCAGCCCAGACTGCGCAGTAAGTTTATCATGGAATTGCTGTCAGTTTATCAAGGACCTTAATACAAACTCTGATTAAAATTGTCCTTGTTGTAGGGGAGGATCTAAGAAGTCAAAGAAGTGAGGATGGAGGACTGTAAGGAGTGTTGGTGCTATATCTACTTTTTGTTCTTGCTATTATGGCAGTTAAGTGTCTTTTATATGTTCCCTTTTTGGTTCATGTACTTTGAGAAACGATGTTTTAACTTCATGAAGTTGAATAGATGCTTTGAAGTTTTGATACATTATTCCCCTATTACAACCCTTATTTCATATTCGGTTATGTATTCGCCTTAGTTCATTACTCTGCACCAGATGGAATGCACTGCCTGAGTGCAGATATTATTGTCAAAATAGCACGGTATAGCTAGTTTTCGGACTGGTCATTCAAAAATAGCCAGTGTTTACCAAGTCAATGAAAAATAGCCACTATTTTGCTGCAGCAGAGACTGGTCTAGCATAATATACTGGAGTTCAGTGCACCTGTGTATGAACTCCTGGACCGGTATACTTTGCTGGCTCCAGTATATTATGTTGGACCGATATACTTGATGGAACTCCAGTATATTATGCTGGAGTTCTAGTGTACTTATGATGGAACTCCATCATATTATGCTGGAGTTGCAGCATACTTATCTTGGAACTTCAGTATAATATGCTTGAGTTCAAGTATACTTATGCTGGAATTCCAGCATAATATACTGGCGTATTTTTTCGGGTTTTGAACAGTGTTTTTGAATAGATTTTTCATTACATGAAAAGTGGCTAAATTTCGATTACTTTTGAAATTGGGCTATTTTTGAACGATCAGTTGTAAATCTGGCTATTTTTAAATTTCTCCCGATATTATTGCAAGCAAATTCTGCTCTCCGCCGCTCATTTATGTTACTTGGTGGTACTACTTACAAATTTGTTTGGATGTTCAAGTATCATGAAGTTCAAACTCTAGCTTCTTTAACGTTAACTGATAGAGAAAATGACACTGTATAAAAATAATAGCCTGAAAAATGTACTCCCTCTGTTTCAATTTATGTGAACCCATTTGACTGGACACGAAGTTTAAGAAAAAAGAGAAAATTTCTGAACTTGTATTGTAAAATTAAAGTGCATATATTTTATGTGGCTATAAATTATTGCCTAAAGGTAAATTGTTTTCAAATTAGGAAATGGGTCATTATTTTTGGCACGACTAAAAGAAAATAGGTTTACATAAATTGAAACGGAGGGAGTATAAATTTGTATACATTGTTTGTATTATGATATATATATATATATATATATATATATATATATATATATATATATTGTATGTTACATACAAAAATTATACGAATATTATACACTTTTTGACTACCAGATGTAAATAGTTTGTGGCGCGGCTAAATGTGATAATACCCCTAATTGATACCTATCCCCTTAACTTAGAGTATGCTTGTTACCATTATCACGCAGTAGTCTAATTCAATTTTGAGAGTGCTTTATTCTATCTGCTAGTATATAGGTGGTTACCAATGATTTAAATTATATACACTGTTAGTATATAGATTTTTACACTATAAATGTAAGTTAAACTATAGTGGAAATGACTTGTTTTTACTTTACGGGTTGTCTCGTACTTAATGTAGACGATTATCTGTAATTGTTTTAAAATAACTTGATTGTAAAAAAATTAATTACAGTGTAAAAATGATGCAAGTTCATCAGTCACCTTGATGCTTAATCAAGCTGTGCATCGGTTAAATAACTTTCCAAACCAAAGAGGAAAAGACAACCAAGACGAGTCCGTTGTTCTTATGGCCTTGGAATCCCAATTCGAAAGTTTAAAGCATTTGGTTCGACGCCTCGTTTATCAAGTCCTTGACATGACTGAGAAACCCAGTAGGATTTTTGAAGGATCTGCCCTTTAATTTGCTTCTTAGTAATTATTGCTTTTGACATTTTTTAGATAATTTTATCGATTATATTTTCCGTCATACAGCTTTAACGATTTAAGATTGTTACTTAACGTCGGTGCAGAATCCATTCAAGTGACAAGAGCAAAGATTATTGTCCAAATATGTACGAAATCGATAGAAATATTTTTGATTCAACTAGTACTTTACAAAAGGGACCAGCCTACTAAATATGTAAATATTTTACTCTATGGATGATTATTACTGGTATATATTGCCTCGACCACATTATATATTTGATATTCATGTTTTCATTTTTGAATGGAACTGCTAAGCAGCACTGATCCCGTCAGCAGCCGCTGTTTTTCCAGAAGTAATACTCATAAGAGCATTATAGGCCTATCAGGTTGTTGTATAAAGCTAGCTATATAATTTCAATAGTGACATTTTCAAGATGCAAGCAATTTTCAGTCCTCTTTTCGGGCACTGAATTAAGTAGTTACATTGAGTCACTGTCATTGGAGCATTCAGAACAGTGAATAAAACACAAATTCACAAATCCTGGTCTAGTGTACTATGTCACCAATGTTTGTTGTCATTTACAAACTCCTTTGATAGCGTTGAACGGTCCCAGCCATCCCACCATCATCTCCACGGAACTGTCTATACCTGAATAGATCATCACTACCTTGGTTCAACCTCCCTCTAGGGGCCATAGGTAGCAGAGGCAATGCGTTTGGATGGTTGCAGACTCCAAGTTTAACTACAAAGGTGACAGTAGTTCCCTTTCCTAGGCCCTCACTTTCAATCCAGATGTTACCTTTCATAAGTTGAATAAATCTGCATCCACCCAGTTTCAAATGTCAAATGATTGCGTGAATAATGCGTACAAGTCACACAATACAGCATGCTAAACAACATATAAATAGCTGTACCAAAGAGATAAATGAGGGGAAAAGAGGATGTCTTGGAGCCTCTATAACATGGACACTGGGAAAAATTAATGCTGCCAAATTTACAATTTCAAAACATACCGTCTGCAGATGGCGAGCCCCAGCCCTTCCCCTCCACTACTTCGATTTGATGTAGTTTGTGCCTCTGCAAATTTGGTGAATACGAGTGGGATGTCTCGTGGGCTAATGCCACACCCAGAATCTCTAACCTGCAAGAACATAAATCTGAAACTGATTAATTTTAAAGTGAATGATAAAAATCTCTTTTTCTGATTGATATTCTCCTCAAGATGAAAATTTAGAACTGCAAAGAAATGGGAAAGAAAAGAAAACCTTCAAACAAACCTCGTACAACCATAAAGTAAACTGAAACCAAAAGGAGATACTGTCTGCAGGGCATGACCTATCTGAAGGAAAAATACCATGTATCTTCACTTTTGATAGAAAGAAATATTTGTTTAGTGATCAAAGAGGGTTTCGACTCGATTCCTAATTCCTTGCTGGCTTTGGAACCGAGAACACAAACTTTTTCCCCATACTAGCTACCAAATAGATGTGGACGTGTGCATTTGTATGCAAATTACATTTCCTCAAGAAACACGAACCATTTAGCCATGCTAGAGATAGAAATGCTCAACCTGGACGCGCAAATAAAACTGGCCATCGCTTGGCATAGGGTACACTTCAGGAGGATGACAATCTCTCACGTACTCCGGTTTAGCAACTGAAGCCTCAATTGAAATATGACCTTCTTTAGTGAACTTCACAGCATTTCCCGCCACATTTAAGAGAGTTTGAATAAGGCGTTTTGCGTCACCCACCGCAAGAATAGGTAAATCCAGAGCCAAAGCAAGAGTTATAGATAATTTCTTCAAAGAAGCAATTGGCTTTATCAAATTAACGGCCTGCAAATCAATGAAAAAAAATGAATTCATACTAGCTGTTTACTAGAGGAAATCAGCAAGTCACTGGTGTATGTTAGACATGCATAGGTTTGTGGTCATTTACCTCTCTTAAGATTCCATGAAGATTGAATGTTCCATTTTCTAGTTCTAGAATACCATCTTCAAGTCTGGAAAGATCTAGCACATCATTAATCAGTGTTGCCAGAAGATTGCTACTCTTCAGTATGGTCTCAATCATAACCCTCTGCTCTGGAGTTAAGTCTGTTTCTAAAAGCAGAGAGCACAAAGCAATAACTGCATGCATAGGTGTTCTCATTTCATGGTTCATCACAGCTAGGAAGTCGTTACGAGCGCGGATGGCCATCTCTGCTTCTTGCCGAGCTACATCCAAAGCAATATTCTGTTCCATGAGCTGATCATGGGCTCGCATGGACTCTTCTAAAATTGCAGCATGTGAAAGAGCGACAGCAACCTGATAAGCGGTTGCAGTTAAAATGAGAATTCGAATTCAAAAATGAAATAGACAAGTTCTAATTTGTGTTCATGAGAAAATGTATAGCAACCTTGTTCTGATAGGTTTGCTATTAAGCGATTGCACTTACTAACAGTGACCAAATTCTAATTCAAAAAAAAAAAAAAAAAAACGGGGGGGGGGGGGGGGGTGGGGGGACAAATTCTAATTTGTGTTCTTGAGAAAACAAAATATAGCAACCTTGTTCTGTTACAGTAGCTAATACATTAACTTCGGAAAGCAAGGGCAATGATTGAACATTAAACCAGCATAAATTTAACACTCCCTCCGTCCCAATTTATGTGGCACCATTTGACTAGGCATGAAGTTTAGGAAAGAAAGGAAGACTTTTGAAACTCGTGGTTTAAAACAAGCATTAACATTTGTGTGATTATAAATCATCTCACTAAGGGTAAACGAAAAATTTTAAAGTTCAATTCTTTCCGGAAATATAAAACGGTAAGATTCTTTTTAGGACAGACTAAAAAGGAAAGAATATTATATAAATTGGGACAGAGGGAGTAATGGAATAGAATCTAATTGACTAAAGAGAGCAGCTATTTCTGCACCTAAACATCATTATCCACTCTGCAATTAATGCATCCACCAGTGTAGACAAAATCCCTCGTGATGATTACAGAAAGAAATAATCATTCTAGAGTTCCCAATTTATGCTCCACTATTCCTTTTTGTTTCAAAATAAATTAAAAAGAGGTAAGAAAAAGAAACGGAAACTCATCTCCTACCCCACTAAATCTCTTCGATTTGTCTTCTTCCTTTTATCTCTCCATCTCTCTCTCTCTTGCAGAAACTATATCTTATGTGACTATCTTTAGTGATTTATTTACAGGCAACACTATCCTCACCTTGAAGATTTATTTGTTGTACTGTTGAAGGATCTTTTTGTTGGTTAATCATCAATAAATTGGAGGGAAGACTTCCAACATTAGAATTTCATTGACATAACCATACTAAAAACATTCTGGATAAAGAATTGGAAAGGAGAAAGTAATGGACCTAATCAAGAAGCGACACATAGTCCATGTGCTCTCTTGGAAAGTAATAGTTACCAGCATTGTGCATATAGCATTATCAGTTTATAACAAACCATTAAGGCAGGGATAATATAATCCAAGCAAGTGAAATACATTAAAGATAGTGTGGATAAGTGTATCTTGAAGTGGAAATAGCTGCTCCGGTACATACAGTACAAACACTTTAGGGGTAGAATGAAGTAGTTGTGCAAAAATCGTTATCTTTTCCCATTTTGTGGTGGTCAGTGGTGGTCACTTGTCTTGGTTCGGAAAGAATGAAAGCATTTATTCGCCAATACTAACGCATGAAGAGTAATGTGAAAATGCCAGTTCGTAATTAGACTATTATGAACTCTGATGCATCATTGACCTGATAACATGCCTGTAAATTAGCCATATTTAACCAGTGGTTAATAAGATAAAGGAAGTTAGCAATAGAACCTGATCTGCGACGACTTGCACAAGTTCTAACTCATGATCACGCCACTTTCTTAGGCCATTCATTGGGAGGATCAGAACCATCACTGCGTAACTTCTAGCAGACAGTTCAGGCCAGTCATTAATATGAAAATTTGAGAGGTGTAGAAGAGGTACACGAACAGCAACTACTTCTGGTGGAATATATCTACCAGCAGTGTTCCTCATCCTTGCCAACGCATTTGTATGTGGAATCTGTATTGCTCCAGGGCTACTAAAAATCTCATTGATAATAGGAAGATTTATGGGCACAGTAGATCCCAGAGGTAATAGATTGTTGAGATTATGGGAAAGTTGCAAATTCAGGCCACCTTGGCATGGCATCCACAAAGCACATTCTGCCAGGTCTAAGGTCCTACCTAGCTCCACAAGAGTAGTCTTCAGGATTGTGTGTCTGTCGAGTGTACTTCTTATCTCATGAGTCAACATTCTGACATGTCTGCCAGTTTCTTCTTGTCTTATTATTAGGCCCATTTCCTTGTCAAGCTCTTCAGCTCGAGCTTTCAAGAACAATTCTCGCGTTTTAACACTTAGCAAATCAGGAATAATGTGAACAAGCATCAAAGCTGTGATACAGGACACAGCAGCTGTTAAAATTTTTGCTATGGTCATAACCACAGCGACCGTCTTAGAGTGCATAAAGAATGTCCACAAGCTAATAAAATGAGTTGCTCCACAGAGAACAATAAAAGCGCCAAACTGCATGAGGACCCATCTGTATGGGAAGCATGCAGATTTGTGGACAAAATAAATAAGCTCCAGCGGAATGGAAAAATAGGCAAAGGCAATGAAGAAATCTGAAAGGTATTGGTATTTAACCAGCAGGTCATCATTTGGCATTAGAGCCTCAACGCAATCACAGGATTCCATCATCTAGTTTCGTCCCGAAGAATCTGAAAAGCACAGAATGAGGAACATTTCTCCATAAATGGGAAAAACAGACAAAAAATGCATACGCCATCATCCACGGCATCTTTATCATGTAGCGCACCCCTTTATTTATAGCAGCTTGACGAAAACAATGAATAAAGAGACATAACAAATGTAATAATGACTGGCAGAAAGCAGGACAGATTTTTGTTGGTTGTTGCTTTTCCAAATATTCAGGAGTTCCTAATCACTGCAACCAAAAGACCGATTGGTGTCTTTTATATTAACACTGGTTAGTAGTTTAAGGAAAGCATTTTATAAGCTTCCCAAGCTGTCACATTTTATTCTGAATAGAAATTTCTTGATCTTCGGAAGGACGGAATAGCTTTTTTGATTTTAATCCCCCACAGTTTCCAGGATATCATAGTGTTGGCATTTATTTAGAAGGCGATTCATAATTTAAAATGTTTTTTGGACAAGACATAATACGTTTTGAAAAGGTGTCATCCATTCTTAAAGGATACATATGTTCTTTGTGATAAGTTGTTTCCTGTCTTAAAGGATACACATATTCTTAAAAAGGTATGTTAGTTACTAGTTGAATTGCTGTAAATACCTATGCCAGGTCAGCGAAAAAATCAAATCTGGTGTTTCCATGTCTTCATCTTTTTGATACTTCATATTGTTACTCTTTTCAGGAGTTCGTTTCTTCGTTCACTCTGAATTCCTAGACTAAGAGTTCTCTGAAACTTCTATTTGAGTGCACATTAGAAGATTCCTGAGTGATTCTTTGTATCTTGAGCGTGCCGCGATCCGGTTTCACATGCAACACTCTATCTCTTCTTTTAGACTAGTTAACTATTGTGTTTTGTTTGTTGATTATATGTTCTTCCAAATGTTATCATCTCTAATATTTTTCGAACACGTAGTAGTACGGAAGGAAGAATAATAAGAAATTAAGTAGAGCACAGTGTCTTCTCCAACTCCAAGCTATTTTTGGCTGTTTGCTGTCTTAGAGTATTTCTCCAGAGGGAACGTTCCTCCATAATTCTTGTATTCACCTTCATTTCCATCATCATACATCTCCACTACCAAGGCAAAAAATAAAAACAAGGCAAGAAAAGAAAAAGAAACAATAAGACCTTTCTTTTTCGCAGAACCCTCCAAAACGGATACCTGTTTGTTTTCTGATGATTAATCTGTTAAGTGGTAATTGTGGTTTTTCCAACCTCCATGAGGCTATAAGAGTATGCAGTGGCAGATGGAGGGTATAGTTCAATTTCGACATGGAGTATAGATACGGAAAATCACTAAAGCTTCAAAATATATAAAATTTTGAACCCATAATTTGAAATGTGTAATGGGTTTTCCTGTAAGAATCTAAAGGTCGAACCCATAAAATTTACGTCCTGGATTCACCTCTGAGAGTATGCAACTAAAAGATTTGGTTCATGCCAATATAAATTTACATTCAATTTCAACTCTCTACAGTAATAGAGAGGCATATATCCTAATGACAAAATCATAATAGAATCAAACTCAGTTTTTATTTGCTGCTAATCTCTGCAACTATTAGCCCACAGATTCACAATGCCAACACCTAAATACACTCAAAACAAACTTTAAAAGCTGAAAATAAAGCTACGGTTCACAGTTCAATATCGAATTCCAGCATTCCACTTAACAAAACATTAAAATTACCACACACACACACCCAAAAAAAAAAAGAGTAGGAGAAAAACCAGTGAATCTCGCAAAGTTTCAGAAAATTCAGCAACTTCGCGAGCTCTTCCTTGCTTTTAAGATGCTATATTTGCTGCTGCGACACAAACGCTGTCTCGCAGCACATTTTCATTTATATTTTTTTGATGCACGACCTACGATATGAAATCAGATTAGGCACAGTATTCTTCTTACTTTTAGCGGAGAAAACAATGAGGAAAAAGGACAAATATGTGAAAGAGATATACTACAGTTGGAAAATCAGGGATCTGAGTAGCTACTTCTCACCGAACTACTACTCCATGTATGTTTGTTGATTTGTGCATTTGCGAGTTTCCATGAATTTGAGCTGCTTTTGTGCTTCTGTCGCCATTGAATTTTCCTTTTGGTTTCTCCGATAATGCTCTGGATATTTTGTTTGTTTTGGAAATTTGGATTTGAGAGGTGATTATCGAGAAGAGGCCCAACTAAAAGTGTTTAAGTAAAGTGGAGGGAAGTAATTAAGGAAAAGTCATCGGAATCACGCTTCTGACGTGAATCACTACACACGTGTAAAATGTTTTTCTTTTCCTTTTATTTTATTTCTCTTTTTGCTCGGATCTATTGGTCACTTGCGGTCTTCAATACAGAATTTAGCGACCAAAATATCATAATTTGAATCTTAGTAAAAATTAGTTTGCATTTAGGTGGTCAATGAATGCTAATCGGCTCGTCAAAATTGTTGAATGAAAAAAAATTAGAGTGATTTCTTATCCATCTTATTAGATGTTCAGTGAAACACTAAATAGTACGTTATATTCTTTAAACTACTTAATAGATGGTTTGGTATATGGGATATAAGGATAATAATCCGGGATAGAATTTAGAGTTAACTTTATCTCATATTTAATTTAAAGTATCAGTTAATTCGGGAATAATTTTTATACTAAAATAATAAGATTAGTTATGTTTGACCAAAAAATATGTATCTTGGTTCAAATAATTAAATTTATGCAATTAGGGGTTAAACTTAGTTAACAATAATATTTCTAGATAAAACTTTCAAGGGTGCAATAATCAATGGGTGGGCTCGGTTAGATAGTAATGACAGCATGCAATAATTGTTCTATAAGGCATGAGCAATAAAGTAGCATTCAATAGCAATGAATATCAATAAATGGTATTTAAGTAAATAGGAGGAATGATTCAACCAATAAAAGATGAAATTGATGGATGTTTCTCCTGACAATGATGAATGACAGACAAATCCTTGAATATACGAGTTATTCTCGGATCTGATGGAAATTATGGAATAGTATCAACTAGAATCTTAGTGACAAGGTGGCGTTTGTATCTTAGCACGAGAAAGAGAATCTTTTTGTTACAGTAAGTTCTTACAAGTGAATATTGCATGCTCCTCTCATTATCTCTTTTTTCTGTATATATGGGACATGTTCCTAAGAAACCCTAATAGTATAAATGTAGAGATTATCCACTAGAATATTCTCTTTCAATATCCTATCCTGACAAACTAGCCATTACAGCTCTCTTCAATGATATTCAACCTCGACCTCGACCCTTGTTGTCATCTCGACTATGGCTCTCGTCGATATCTCGACTACAGCAACTCCATCCAAGGACTCTGCTGCTTCTTGGCCCATTTCGACCAACAACGACTCGATATTTCCTTTTTTAGTATTATCTTCCTTCAATTATTATAAGGGCGGGTTTTGACCTATACAAATTATCCTATATAAAAGGTGAGATAACTAATCTCATGAGATATCTCACTATTATACCAAACGACCCCTAAATATTTTGAACGTAATGAGTAATTATATTTTTAGTTTTATGAAATCAGAATGAGATAAAGATTAATGAATCCAAAACCTATTTCAATGTCAAACATTTCAATTTAATCAAGTTTATTTAATCAATTTAGTCAACAGCAAGCGTGTGCAATGTAATTGGGTAAGCGATAAATTTAGGCACGGTTAGGAGCCTTATTACATGCAGCCCCCTTTGTCTGGATTTGGGATTACTGACTTTTTTCCGTTTAGCGGTTGAAGTGGGCCCTTGTCCTTTCCCAATTAGACTCTTCTACTTTTTTGGTTTTTCAGAAAAAGGCAAAGGATAGACGTTATACCATTTGCTATTTTTACATGTGTATACGGTCGAAATCAGGTATGCCCGATTTTTCGGACTCAAGGGGTCACCTTAGGCCCGAGTTCAGGCAAGGTCGAGTTCGAGCCCGGTGGATTGGACTCGAGCTCGAAGACAGAGAGCAATACCCGAGGATCGAAGTACGATGAGTATCGAAGCCGAGTATGCTCAACCCCAAAATAATGCCGTTATGAATTTGTAACAAAATGAGAAAGATTCCTGCCACGTCTCCATGATCATGGCGTAAATCCCGGAATAGATTTGTACGAACCCGACTAGGCTGTTAGACAGCTGCCCCAATAAGATTCTTTACTGTAAATAGAAATTTACCTTATTTAGGGTTACCCTATTATATAAAGGGTACCTCAATCATTTGTAAACATCATCTATCATTGGCAAAGAATATACTCTCTTACTTTTCTCGCTCAATATTCATCATAATTGTCCTTTAGCTTTATTATTCTTGCTTTACTATTCTTGATCCATCTCGAGGTCACTGGGCTCGAGGTCGATACTACTTAGTGACACTGGTTTGATTCATTCATTTCTTTCATCTCTACTTTATACTTCTTGATTATTAATCAATATTGAACTAAATCACATATCTTTAAAATCACAAATCAAATTTAATTGTTACTTGTATTTTTGAGGTAAACAGTTTAGTGGCCACCGTGGGGCTAAAGATAATAGTGATTATTTCATTACTGATTCTTATAACACACGTTATTTTTATACTTTTTCTTGTCAAGAATTTTTTGATTCTCAGGATTAAACATGTCAAACTCGTAAAACGCACCTATTCATGACAACGAATGACTTGGATTTCATGGGGAAAACAACAATGTAGGGAAAGTGCCAAATGTGGAAACAGTTGATGTTAGTTCGCACATTGCTTTGAATGTAGATTTAGGCACAGACCCCGGAGGAAGTGTACGTAGGGAGGCCCGATCTGGGGGCCAAGGAACATAAGGTATAGGAGATGGGGGAGTTAGTCTCCAAGTTATATTCGAGATGTTGCAAGCTCAGCAGATTGCCATTGCTCAACTTCAGAGTCAGAACAAAACTCTGAGTATAGCCGAACAAGAAAATACTCGACGTGCTGAACCGGCTCCAGAGAGGTCGAACGAAAATGGCTTGGGGACTTACCCCGCCATTATAAGAATTCTCGAAGAGCTCACCAAGAGGATCGAGTCCGGGGAAAAGAAGATTGAAGACAATGACAAAAAGGTGAAAACTTATAACTCCCGTGTTGACCAAATACCGGGGGCACCCCCGGTCTTGAAAGGTTTAGATGCCAAAAAGTTCATACAAAAACCATTCCCTCATAGCGCGGCTTCGATGCCCATTCCTAAGTTTCGGATGCCCGATATACCCAAATATAACGGGACAACCGACCCTAATGAACATATTACCTCATATACTTGCAGGATTAAAGGAAACGACCTGAATGATGATGAGATCAAGTTAGTCTTGCTGAAAAAATTTGGGGAAACTTTGTCGAAAGGAGCCATGATTTGGTATCACAACTTGCCTCCTAACTCTATTGATTCGTTTGCCATGTTAGTAGACGCCTTCGTGAAAGCACGCATTGGGGCCATAAAGGTGGCGACGAGGAAATCAGGCGTTTTCAAGATAAAATAGAGGAACGACGAGATGTTGAGGGAGTTCGTGTCCAGGTTTCAGATTGAGCGAATGGAATTACCAATGGTCTCGGATGACTGGGCAGTACAAGCTTTTATCCAGGGTTTGAATAAAAGGAGTTTGATTGCGTCTCGATAATTAAAGCAGAATCTGATCGAGTATCCAGCTGTGACGTGGTCAGACATGCATAATCGTTATCAATCAAAGATCAGGGTCGAGGACAACCAGTTGGGAGCCCCCTCGGGTTCAGTTCATCCTAATAGATTGGCAGCCAAGCCCCCGAGGGATACAGACAGGGAATCGAGGTCAAACAAGGAACGGTATCAGTCGTATGTTGATCGGAGAAACAATGGCTCGGGTCGTAACGCTCCTCGGAATGATCGGAGAAATGACCGAGGTTAAAGCTCTCGGGGACTCATGAGTAAGAATGGGTTCGATAAACATACTGATCCCGCGGAAGCACCTCGATTGTCAGAGTATAATTTCAGTGTAGACGCGTCGGGGATTGTGTCAGCTATTGGAAAAATCAAAGACACCAGGTGGCTCAGGCCCATACAAACCGATCCCTCTAAAAGGAATCCAAACTTGATGTGTAAGTATCATGGCACACATGGCCATAGAACCGAAGACTGCAGGCTACAAGGATTTAAACAAAGCATGCCCGAAAGACTCTTTCCCACTGCCCAACATCGATCGTATGATCGATGCCACGGCCGGCCACGAGATCCTAACTTTTCTCGACGCCTACTCCGGGTATAATCAAATTCAGATGAACACGGAGGACCAGGAAAAGACCTCGTTTATCACTAAATTTGGAACTTATTGTTACAACGTAATGCCCTTCGGGATAAAAAAATGCAGGAGTTCATACCAATGCCTAGTTAACAAAATATTCGAAGAACAGATAGGTACATCGATGGAAGTTTACATTGATGATATGTTGGTTAAGTCCCTGCGCGCAGAGGACCATTTAACTCATTTGCAGGAAAAATTCAAAATATTGAGGAAGTACAACATGAAGCTTAACCCAGAAAAATGTGCCTTCGGAGTCGGCTCGGGTAAGTTCCTCGGCTTCATGGTGTCGAATCGGGGTATCGAAATCAACCCCGACAAGATCAAGGCCATCGAGGATATCACGGTCGTGGATAGTCTAAAGGCCGTGCAAAGGCTAACAGGATGAATAGCTACCTTGGGTCGGTTCATTTCGAGGTCATCAGATCAAAGTCATAGGTTCTTTTCCTTGCTCAAAAAGAAAAAGGATTTTGCATGGACCCCGGAATGCCAGCAAGCCTTGGAAGGATTGAAGTGATACTTATCGAGCCCACCTTTGCTTCACACCCCGAAGATAGATGAAAAACTTTACTTATATTTGGTAGTATCCGAGATAGCGGTAAGTGGGGTACTAGTTCGAGAAGAGCAAGGTACGCAATTCCCTATTTATTATGCAATCCGAACTCTAGGAGATGCTGAAACTAGATACGCTCACTTAGAAAAATTAGCAATTGCATTGATAAGCGCATCTAGAAAGCTAAATCCATATTTTCACTGTCCTCCCATATGTGTATTAACCACTTACCCCCTTCGAAATTTGCATAAGCCCGAGCTATTGGGCCGGCTGGCCAAATGGGCCGTTGAACTTAGCGGGTACGATATCGAATATCAACCCCAAATGGACATCAAGTCTCAAATCCTAGC